GCATGTTTACAACTACCCCTTTCTGCAAGACAAAAAATAAGTTCAGCGGATATCTTCATAAATCTCCTTTTACATTCTTCTACTCCCCTTTACTGCTCATCCTGACCTACATCAGGATCAGCACAAGTCATTTTTCTTCTTGTGTACTATGTTATCAATGCAAATATTCAGCAACTCAAGAATTAATAACTGTCTCTTCATGTTACTCCAGTTGCAACTTAGGACAAACATTGTACAAGAAAGCTAACTGCACTTGACAATATTCAGATGCAAACAATGTTGGCTCATAAAAAAACGTGTCTGCAGAGCTAAACTATTGCCACTGCAACAAAAATGGCAGCAACAACAAAACGAGAAACAGAAATATTGCACAAACAGGGATATCTTTGGATAGCAGTGGACTTACTGCAGAATACTTCAGCAAAATTTACTGCCATGAGTTTTTGCTAATTTGGGAGCATGAAATTAAAATATGATCGTGATTACTACATTCACATCTGAACAAGTTTTAAAAACAAAACTTTCATCTGTGGAAAAAACTAACTGCTCTTTGACGTGGATTTTAATTCGTCTATTCAAACCTGGCACTCCAAACCCAGAAGCTTGTCTGCTTCTTCCAGCTACGTTGAATAATAAAAGATATCCACATTTATGAATTCTGTTTCACAGGGCTTTTTCTCCCATTTCTGTGAAATTGAACCATTTCTTTCATTATTCTCTGTAATCTTCACAGAATTAAATAAGTTCTACTGCATTCTGATGGAGCGTTTTCTTTTTTACTTTCCTTTTCCATTCTCACCTTTGATACTGGTGTGTTATTCACCCTTTTACCTTCAGAATTTTCAATTCATAGTAGTTAGTGCTCTTAATTACTGGCATAACAATCTGGCCAAGAGCACTCTTCGGGAAAGGATACACTTTAAAGGCCTTCTGAACTGGGGGTAGCATTCATACTTGCATTGCAGAATGATTACTCAAAGAAGATTGGTTTTGCCTTAAGTGGAACTGAGCACCATACAGAGTTACCAGAGTAGTAGAAGAAAAGAGAATGTTGGTTCCCCAGTCTCTGAAGAGATAAATTCTCGAGTTTCCTTCATCTTGCTGGACAAGCAGCTGCCAATACTGCCTGAAGAATAACTTGATTTTTTAAAAAGATTTAGAAAACTTGAATTCTATGGATGTCTTACTACCTGTTGATGAAATGGAGAACAGAAAACATTGTCAAAAATTCTAAATTAAAGTAATATTGAAGTATCAATGAGTTCACCTTTCTGAATATAACTAGAGACTGCAGACTTCAGTTTTCTTAAGAGACATTATACAATATACACAAGTTCTACTCTTTATGCATTTCTTTGTACTTGAACTGATCTTGATTGTTGGATTATCTAGTAGAAAATGATTTGGTTGTTTCATATGTACATTTCCTTACAGAATGATCAGCTGAGTACGCTTCTCAGCACATATTACAGACCTGCTTAGTCTCACCCTCATGTTCTTCATTCTTGCTTCTACTTGCTTCTGGGACACATATTTTGAAATTTTTCCATCTTCATCTAGCTTTCTTATTGCTGCTAGCATTTACTTTTTGTTTATCATCTCACCTACAAGAGCCAAAATCATTCTGAAACTTCAGAGCTTCCCAAAGTTCTACTACTGCCTTAATGCTGACAGTGGTTTGCACATTAACTTTGGTCATCAGCTTATTATTTTCTCCTATTTGATCCCAGCCATAGTGATTACATTCAGATATAGCTGAATTACAGAAGTGCGAAGTTACAGAAGAAAAAAGAGCCTCTCTAATAACATTTTGTGCCACTGCTGCCTTCTCAGTGTGACGTCTTCTGGTGTATATCCTAGGGCTATGTGTCTGCTTGAGAATCTGTTATCGTGGTAATGTTTGGAATACTTTTCATTTTGTCTTCACTCTTCCTCACTATTTTCATCCATGCAGCAATCCTGTTTTGTATGTGTTACTGTCCCTATGACACTGAAATAGCAAAATAAAGAGGATTTCACACCTCCATGACTTAACAGAATCTCTCTAAAACACTTAACATCTCAAAGTCAAAATCTTAGAATTTTTTTTTACATTTTCATAGAGTGTATTGCTTGTGCAATTATTATAAATGCTTTCCCATTACCTGGATTTGGGAATCATTTGAAATGTGCCATAAATATTACTGAGGAAAAAACATCCCCATATTTGGTTTCCAAACTGATATTTAATATAGTCTTCAGTCATCTTACATCTACCTCTGAGACAATATTTGCCTACTCTAAAATCTTGCTATCAAGTGGAAAGTTGAATTCTGACAAACACCATCACAGCTTCACTACAACGTAGTGCTTGCAGGAGAGGTTGTCCACAACAACAAATAATCTGTCAAAATGTTATACCTTTATCTTTCTTAAAATGATTTTTCCAGATTATAAGGAAAAAAATCAATCAAAGATTCTCAAACTTTTCAAAAAAGTCTGCAAGCAATTGAAGTTGCAACAAGAATTTCTTCATATGCTTACTCAGGGACAAATTTCTTAAAAGGTTACAAATGAAAGTTCTTTCTTCAAGAAAGAGACAGAGGTTGTAGTCAGCTCTGGGATACCTTCATTACTGAAAAGAGATGCCAAGATCTATTATTCCGTATCTAATTTGTTGTCGCAAGTAGTTCAAAACCATATAGTTAAGTTCACATTAAAGCAAGACAATTAGGCAGTAAGAAAAAAACTGACAAGGATGTCAGAGCTCAGGGATATGCTCCTGGCTCATTGGGAGCACTTTCAAATTGCACAGCAACAGAGAGAAGAGAGAACAAGTGCTGGAGGCAAAAGCATAAATGAGAATAAGAATAAAAGTTAAACAGAATATGACCACATGTGTGTGCATTATTTTTTGTCTTAAAGGAACACTATGATAAAGTTGCAGGCAAAAATATCATATTTTTGCCAATGATCTGTGGTCTCTGGAATATTTTGACTGTATGGGAAAATGAAAGTCAATCTCCCATCTTTGACAGCTAAAAAGAGCTGACCTTCTCTGAACTTTCTTTGAAGACTCTATTACAGTCCATAAATAAATACATTTCATGGAATTCCTGTATCTTTAGCTGAGGAAAATCAAATTCCTCATTTTAAGAGGTGAAATGGATATGTAGGACAGAGAGAATAGACATACAGTTAAAAACAGGATACAGCCGCAAAACAGATAACACAAGTACAAAAATACCAACAATGTATTGCATTGAGAACACAGGATATGGTAGGCCTGGTTATACTCTGTTTAGCAAATCTGTATCTTGCAATTAGCAGCATACGTTAGTGTAGACTGCATCTCCTTGCACAGGGAATTATTACAGCTATTGCAAAGCCTAAAAAAATGTTTTTCCGTCATGATCAAGAGCTGCACAGATATACAATTGAAATAAGCTCACCATAGCTTTTTATTTCACAAATAACCAGAACAAAACCTTTTATCTAAAACAAACCCACATATTTATTCTAGATAACAGGCTCTTTCAGCAATGATGCACCAGTACTGCAAAAGCAGTAGCAACACCTAGCATCATCTTCCACCTTACCCCTGGGGAAATCTACATCTGTGTTGGAATAAGTTAGATAACTAAATATTTACTGAAGGAAATGTATTATATGATAAATGTTTATAGAATGCATAGTATGCTTTTTCAAAAGCAGCGCATTCAAACTGTGGAGTAGGTGCATAGGGTTTATCCTAAGTGTATGAGTTTTGTTTTTGGAAATGCTCCTAAACGATACAAAATATGTCTTTTCATAACATCTGATAGATGAGAGTTTCTGTTAAAACTACACGCAGAGTTGAAATCTAACTTGGGACAGAGTATGCAGACTGCTCCAAAAGTGATGTCTCTTTGTTATGTTGGTCCAGAGGCAGATGTTTAATGGTAAGGCAGCAGATATTCCCATTGGTATTGTTACCTTTTTTTTTTGTTGTACTGTGCTACACTGTGAGCACAGTGAGGTGGTATGTGCTGTGTTTCAGAAGTGGTGACAGTGGCGTGAAAGAAAAGCCATGTTCCAGACAACCATGCAGGCTTTTAGAAGTTTGGCATGCAGGCTCTTGTTCATTGCTAGCAAAAATGCATACCTAAACATGGAGACCATGTTGAAAACAAATGTTATGTAGTTGAGAATTTGCTCTATCAAATAATGTTGTGCTCCTTGTATCTGTTTCAATTTCCATGGAAATTAAAACGAGGTATTACTTTTGGAGTGACCTACATACATACATCACTAAGAAATCATTAAACCCATCTTACCTAGGATGTAGAGCCATATAAAATTTGATAATTTATCTTTTTATTTTTCAAATGATAAGATTATTTTAGTTTCTCTATTTCTACATGCTGAAACTGTTTAGTTTGCAATTACGCAATCAAAATCAGATCAAGTCAGAGTGGTTTTTTTTGGAAAAGGGAGTTCCAGATCTCCTTCAGAATAAACTTCTCCTAAATTTAAAGGAAAAGATTTGCAGAGATAATAGCGTAAGAAAGATTTTTGAAGTAACAGCATGCTTCAAAGCATGTAAAAGCTCATTTGTATACACATATACAGACCGAATTAACCAGAAATGATTTGCAAGCTTCCTTCAGACCATCAGCAGCTGGACAGATGAAGCTCTCAAAGATTCTGTCACAAATTGTACCTTGGCACCATGGCCAAGCAGAGCTGGCTGAAACTTGTGCAGAAAAGAATTTCACTCTTAGCTTCAGTTTGTTGTTACCACTAATGAAGAATAATTCCTTTCTGAGCTTGAAGAGTAGCATTTATTTGTTAAATAAATAAATAAGTTATTCTATACAATCTATTTGACGCAGCACAGATGAAGCTGTCAGCTACCCAGAACAAGTCTGCTGTGACATGCTCACAGGGTTGTATGAATGGAAAACATCTCTGCCTCTCCAATCTAGCTACTTTAGGAATACCACGGCATAAAACAATAATTCACAAAAAGTCTTCTGCTGTGAAGTTCTTACTGCTTCTTTATTCATAGCTTTGCACAACATGTGATGGTAAAGCCTCTGAAATGGCTTTTCCAAGAAAACCAAAAAACACTTCATATTATTCTTCAACTACCAACTCTCCTTAGCATAACATCATCTAAATAAACTAAATAAACTAAATTTACTAAGATCAAAAGGCTTTAGATCCAGATCTATTAAAAATATTTAAAAAATAAAAATAAAAGGTCTTTCTTCAAGCCCATTGTGCATTCGCTCCTAGATATACAATAGGGCTTCTGTAATTCCTGTCACATTTATTATTACGTGTGTCAAGTGATAGTATGTCATGAAAAATCATAAACATCACTTAAAGAGATATACTGAAGCTGGAAGTAGGTTTCTGGACCTGCTAAAGCAGCAGTTCTGATAAAAGATCATATTCCCAAGAACAGTGTATTCTTACCTCGTCACTAACATTTTCTTCCAAATGTACATATGCCTTACCAGAAATTATTGTGGTTGAAGGAGGAGAGGGGAAGAGGGAAAAGGGAGTTGTTACTTTAAAAGCATTTAAAACTTCTTCTACTTGCTTCCACATTTAAAAATTGCTTATGCCTGGAGGTTAGAGAATGGCTATTTCTACGCATCTGTTTTCTGACTTCATATTCATCCCCACCATCCCCAAATTATGTTTTTATGGGCTTCAGAGCAGTTATGAGTTGCTAATTTATAACAGCAAAATACATATTTCAGATTACAAAGTTCTGGTCTTCACAATAAATCAAGGCCCTACCTGTTAAAAGGCAAAATTTCTCTTGCATTACTAAAAAGACGATAGAATGCTATACCAGACATATACAGTAAGCCCAGTAGAAAAAAGAAAACTACAGTAAAAATTCCCAAAGATGAAAACAGAGTCCCTTTGATATCACTTCCAAATGGCTGACTGCTAATAGATTTTCTGATCTCGGTAAATAGTGTAAGTAATGAAATTAGACCAAGTTCCAAAGGAGAATAAGTAACATCACTTTTTTACATTTCAAGCTATGGTGGCTGAAGTCTTCTTGTAGAACAACAGATCAGGGTCTACTATCTTTACTCTGCATAAATCCCGTGTACCAAGACCATTCACTAAGTACAATAACATATTCAGAATTCTAAATAATTGTGTTTCTAATCATGACAAATAAAAGCTAACCGGAAAGTTTATAGGTTAGGTAATTTTGAAGATGTGAGAACTTAAAGTTAGGAAGATTTCTGGAAGGAGGCTATTAGGTTATACTAAAAGCTACATAGTATTTATGAGTAAGATGCAGAGGAACTCTTCATATTTACAGCAATCTTGAACAAGAAGGGCTAGAAATAATTCAGAAACAGACAGAAGCTTACAACATACAGAAAGTTGACAGTTTCAGAAGAAATCCTATGTCAGCAGTGATTTGTGATTTGTGTATCTCTTAATTCAAAATTGAGTATTCCAGTGCAGTAGAAGCAATGAATTTAAGGTTTGCCCTGGTAAAGTATTTCTTCAGCTACAATGGCTGGGTAAAATCTTCATAGGCAAATACTGGTGGAGCAGAGTAAACTACTTAATTTTGGAAAATTATTTGTAAAGGGCTTCTTATCATAAAGGCGTACCCTTAGAAACATCTGGAAAGTATCAGACAGTGGAAAACGAAACAATAAATCAAATAATCACTAATTGCAAACAGAATATAAAGTGAGGGAGTGAGAGATTAAGGATTCAGAGAGTTTGCGTTTATTGTTAAATGGTACAAGTTTCCATCAAACAGAGAATGCTCAAGAGCTGAGCACCTTTCTTACCTATCAAAGTTTGTATTACTTGAAAATGTACAGAAGATAATTGGATACTCTAAAACTGGATGTTGTCTAATCTGCCTTCCACTAGAAAGAGACAGTAATTGCAGTGATTCATTTTCTTTTTATAAAAAGATTTAACAGTCTGTATTTCAGTAATGAAAGCCTTCTAATTAAAATAAAGGAACTGAAACTTACTTACAGTAGAAAATACTGACATACTTAGGACATTATACATGTTATTGATAATAGCAATTAGCTTCAGGAAAAAAAAATCATACAGAATGCATAATTGGGATAGCAAGTTAAAAATGTGGATGCATTACCCAAGTAGTTCACAAAATCCAGACTCCATCCTTCCTTTGGTGAAAAAAAGACATTATTACACTAAAACAGACTCTAAGTTGATTAGAGAGAGAACATACTCTGAGAACGTGTTAGTACTGTAGAGAAAAATGTTTAAAAGTTCTTTAACTCATCTTTTGTTCATGTTCATAAGTAGGTATAGGGAGCCACCCTTTGGTCATTATCATAAATGCAAAATCAATATAGCATACTATGGATGCTGACAGTTCCCACCCTTAAAGGACTTTTGGTGACTCCTTTTAAGTTCACTGGTAACACTGACAAGTATCCCAGGGATTGTCACTGGTTTAACATCGTTTACAGTATGTACCTTATCTTACAGGGGTGATTGTGATGATAAATCTCTGCTCTTGTAGGTCTTCAAGCATGTTGTACACTGTCATCACTGCACTCTGTGACTTTCACTCTCACATTACTGATATGGGTCAACTTCCACACATTCTGAATCTGTAGCATTTCACACTAAAATGATGATTAAATGGGAAAAAAAAAAAAAAAAAAAAAAAAAGTAGCTTAGTAGACTTTACTTTTGAGAGCCAATAATTGAATAAATGAAAAAAAAAAAAAAAAAAACTTGAGTAACAAATCACTTTTTCATCTCAGTGGCTGATAGACACAGACCAGTGAAAATGAGACTAACAAAAAGAAAAGGCCAACAAAGTGTTATCACATGATTTCATCCAAACAGTCTGGACTCTGATGTAGAACAAAACACTCAAATAATGGAAAAAATATTCAGGCAAAGAAAGTTCAGCTGACAGGGCAGAAAGAGAAATCTATGGACATTGGCCAGGGAGATTAAACTTAAGCTTCACATAACTCTTATTTCACATTGAAAACCACAAACCATTCCTGGAAAGGAAGAAACTATTATGCTCTCTCTTATGCTTGATGTGAGCAACCTTTCTAAACACTTCTCTATTTTATGGGAACAGACTAAAGTTCCCAGAGTTTTCCATTTACCTTTCCCTCAGGACTTAGAGGCTGTTGTTCTTCCTGTTATTCTTTCTTTCAACTTGGGATCATCCTTTACTATAGTCAGCTGTTACTGGCTAGTATCAAGCAGACTCAGTCCATGAAGATGAAAAGTGGATGTGCAAGTACTGGATAACCAAGCCACGGCAGGAAAGCAGCAGTTCTAAATTTGGATACAGTCTTGAGAACACCAACTCTAAGAAACTTCGGCAAACTGTAAGCTAGTAGGTGACAGAAACAGAAGAAACAGATAGGAAGTAGCCATCAGCTCAAAATGAAGATAGTTAGCAGAGACCAAAATGAGGTTATTAGTTGTCTTCTGTCTTGCCACTTCCTATCAAACAATTTTAACAACCAAGTAAATAGTTACTACAAGCAGGATATTTGTTCTTCACACCTTCAAGAGATCTCACAAACACTGCCACACCACAAAAACCATGTGTCCCTACATGATGAGCATTCCTACTCATGTGTTATCTTAGGGAATGAAGACACAAGCAGGTAGAACAATCTCCAAGGCCACGTGGTAAGTTAGAATGTGGAAATCAGGATAACACTGAAGAATTTTGTAGCTGGTAAGATCAAGTGTATCTTACCAGCAGAAAAGTGTAAAGCAACTTACCTACACTTCAACTGTTGTTTTTCTGTCCATAAAATAGGACTTTTTCTCCCCACCAAGAAAGCAAACACAGCACACAAAATCACTGAACATTTCCAATGACTAAAAAGCAGCTATTAAACTACTCACTGCTAGTAACTCTAAACCATTTTTCCTTGCCCAGAAGGGTAGAAACTGTTCAGCAAAATCTTATGCGGAATGTTACAGTGCTGGAAAGAAAATAAAAAGGGCAAAGGACAGCCGTTACAGGTAGGATTTTTTCCTCTGATTTACAAGGAATATCCATTGCATATTTTTCCTGTAGTTATTTTTGCTTAAAAACCATATTTATTTCAGCATATAGTTATACAGTCCACTTAGCTTAATTAGTTTCATACTACTCAATTCAACACCAGTTTTGATTTGCTACTGTAGCACAGTTAATTGCCATTACTGATAAATTTGCTCCACAGATTGACTGCACTGTCTGATTGCATTTACTTTTCTAAATGCAGTTTAGAAAACTGTATTTTCCTTTTCTACATTTGAGCAGGTCCTCCACATTTCTGTACAGTCACCTAATTATCAGAAGCTGAAACCAACACATATATAATTCTGATTTCAGATGGCCTCTCATGAAAAAGACCACATTAAAAGCACCATATCACAGCTTTTATAATAATGCCTGCTCTACAAAATGGATGAGTTCGAAAGGATTAGACATACTAAACTGAAAATCTGGAAATGGGAGTTCTTCACAGATAATTTGCCAGGTGAGAGAATGCCACAACTCAAATATGATTTCCTCCGCTATTATTGATCTGAATTTAATAATGGATTATAGTAGGGTAGCATACACGGAAATGAAAAGGGAGGAAGTAAAATAATGCGGATGAAAGAATTTATAACCAGACAATAGAACAGTGCTTATATTTATTGTAAAACACTTATAAAAGTTAAAAACAAATCACTTAAGAATTTTAAGAAAGTCACCCTATTTCTTCATTGTAGAAAAGCCATTGTTTGGTCTGATGCAACTGTCATAACACAGCAGCCGCTCAGTGCATGAAGTTTTCAAAGGAATGAAAACTAACAAGTAGACAAAGGCTAAAACTTGTGAAATTCATGCATACAGATGAATGGCAGACACTATTTGGGGCTTAAGCATAACATGCTCTGCCAGACTGCAAAAATATCACCCAGAAGGTTAATTCTGGATATTCAAAGTACCTTGGTTAGTGTCCACACTAGACAAACAGAGTTTCCTGGAATTTTCTATTTGGGTTGCTATACATGATCAAAAGCATCAAAGTTATGCACCTAAGCACAAAATGTGTGAGAGATAATTGTCTGATAGTTCTTTTAGCTTCAATTTATTTCAAGACCATGGAAAAGATGGGAGTTAAAAGAACCTTGAGGGAACCATTGCAGTCTTTCCCTTCTCTGCACAACAGGCATCCATTTTCAAAAGTCAATTCAGATTCCTGAATTTCAAAAGGGGAAAAAAAAAATCTCCCCTTGATAGGAACACATTCAAGTGAATAACATATCATCATTTCGAGAAAGAGCTGGCACAAAATCAACATCAGTGCAATCTGTTCAATATATGCCTAATCCGGTTCTCTCTTTCCCAAAGGCTGCAGTTGTGAAACCTTCCCATGATAACAACCAAGGCCTTCAGGAGGAAGGAACCTGTCAGCTCCAAAAAGAGAAGAGTCTCAAGCAATACGTAGAATCTAGGAAACACAAATGAGAATCTACAGCGACTATCCCCTTATGTTCTTTGGAGAAACTAACAAACTTCAGGTAGCAAACTGGTTTTATCTATCAGGCTACTGGTAAAACAAGAAAGTCAACATCCACATACACCTGTTAGTGCTGGTGTCATAAGGAAGTTGTTTACAAAATGAACCCTGACCATCAAGTGATTCAGTCTCCTCTTTTGCCCTAGGTGACTGTTACCAAGCAGTAAGTGCCTGCTGCAGATTCACCGCAGTGTGTACTCATGTATATCTTCCTACAATGCAGCTTGCTGCTAACACTTGTTTCTTTGTTTCCATAATTTGATTTTTAATATTCAGCACTGCAGAAAACAGGATAACTGAATATCTTCTGGAAGATGAGCAAACTCCTTCATTTGAATTTGCAGACTTTTTACCTTTGTCATAATGGCAACCGTAAATTCTGCTAACTGCCATTAAAGCAATGTCTAAAATCCAGATAGAAACTTCAGTCTCCAGGTAATTCTTCCCAGTCCCTCGTGAAGCATTTTATGAAAAAAAAAAAAACTCAGAGGATGTTTCTTGGTGATATCTACTTGCTGGAACCCTTGAAACTCTCACTTGTGACTGTAGAAGAGAGAATAACATGAGAGTGTAAGAAATTTTTAACATTATGCGTTCAATAGAACATAGTTTGTGTAAAAATCGTATTTTAAAAAAATACCTTTTTTGATTTCTCTTATATACAGTATTTTACATAGCATTTATTTTATTCAATGATATTCACTTTCACCATGTGTACTCTCTCTTCTGCGTTGTCTATAATGATGGAGAATAAAATGAGAATAACCAGTTTTGCCTTTGGAACTATATCCTTCATTAGTTACCAACATAAAAATTTATGTTTAAGTTGTAAACAATATTTGGTGAAATTTAAATACAAAATAAAAGAAAAACTGAAACCTTAGAACCATTTCTAGAGCTATTGCTCTTAATAATGGATTTTGAAACTTTTTAAGAGAAGAATCTGTATTTTATACCTATGTTATGCAATCACATAGGTATTACATTCTGAAACTGGAATTACACAGAGGGAGTAATATGTCTTCTGAGAATGATTAATGAGCTGCAAAGAAAAACCTGATGCCATTACACATCTCACACATCAGGCAAATACATAGAACAGATCAGTATGTTCTGTCCAAAGGCTGGAAAGCGTCTCAGTGACTCCCAACTGTCTGTAAATATATTGTACTTCAGAAAAACACGGTGCTCCAAGCTCGTAGATAAAGTAATATCCCTACTCAATATATAAACTCCATCATTGTGTAGAGTGCAAGTCAAGTTAAGACCCGACTTTGATGCGTTCTCTTTGAGGTAGAGCCATTCTTTGGTAGCAGTGTTATAAGACTGCACAGTTAACACATCTTCACTTTGGCTGGACTTTTGGTTTGGTGCAAGTTCATGAATACAACCTCCTACTAGATAGATTGTTTCTTCAACAGAGACCATCTGTTGTTTCCGAACATGGACATCACAGAGTTCAAAGTTGGTCCAAGAATCAGAAGTAGGACAGTATTGCAAGATGTTCATATTCCTGTCTGAAACAGAGAAGAGAGATTTACAAATAAATAAATGGCACTTATGGAGGAGTATTCTTTCCGTTCATGAAGTGAGTCTCTGTCCCTAGTGATAAAGCTAGGACATTTTATTCTACCATAGCAGGAAAAATTCAGCTGCTGCTGTCCTATTGAATGATGCAAATGATCTGGTAAAGTACACTTCAGCAGCATAAATCCTAGCTATTACCTAATAATTGTGATTTTGCCTCTGATCGACATGCAAGATATTTTTAATGAAAAGGTAAATTGAACAACACTCTGCTTGGTGATCACAGATGAATCAAATTATCATAATAATTGTATGCTTCATTAATAGCTGTCAAGTGGTGATTTATCATCCAAGCTGAACTTTGCATTTCAATCCACAAATCAAAGTTTTAGGGAATAACATCCATAAAGCCAGCTATATTCCATCAAGAGGCATGGATAACCTAAGGGCTCATTTTCAGTACCTCATAAAGAGAGAGATGCACTAGGTCAAACTCATTTAGAGACCAGGAAATCCATGCAACAGTACCAAATGAAAGTAGAGAGAGAAGCTGAAGTCTTATCTCTGCTTCAGCTACAACTCATTGGATGTGTTTGCAACACTGTTATCCTGCAAAATTGTTACACTACCTCCCTGATTTTACTGCCGGGTAGCCCAGGGCAGCATCCTCATTGAAGGCTTCACTAAATTAACAAAGAATGCGCTTGAGCTTTTAGCTAGTAAATTCAGTTTCAACCTCCAGAGACCAGAACTTAAATACAAACCCAAGTGACAAGTGGTAACAGGCTTGCAGACTCCAGTTTGGTTTTTCAATAAAATCCACTCTGTATTACAAGCTATTCTGCGCAATGACCTCCAGACGAACTCCAAAGTGGAACAGCAGATGGTGACACACTAACAAGTTATGTAAGAGCACAGGTATAGATAGCCATAAATATAACTGTCATAAATGAAGTTCATGAGCAGCATGGCTTTGCAGGTGCTGCTACAGCATTTTCTTGCACTGTAATGACCTTTGGTCATTGCTTATTACTCATCTTCCTGTACACTTAATCCACATTAAATAAAGAAAAAAATAGGAAACATATTAACAGTACTATATAAAAATGCTGATCAAAAATCCACATATAAATGATCTTTGCCTATAAACAATGAATAATTCCCTGACTCACTAGGGTGGTAAAAAAAATCCCAACATTCCTGGAAACATTAAGTTCCCATGTCTTTCCACAGCAGTAAACTTCTGAGGAAAAAATGGGATGCCACTATTTGAGACAAGGCACATGAAATGGAACTCTGTGATGTAGCCCTCATTTACTCAGTACAAAGCCCAAGTTTTTTTTATATGCACAAGAAAACAAAAACAAAAAACAAAATGCTATATGAACTATAACAAATATTTAAAAGTCTATATTGTTTATATTGCGCTTTTCATATTTTTCCACAAAGGTCTACCTGTTGAGAACTTTCTTTCTACTATATGACCAAAATCTAAGAGGAGGAGGACTAAGCTGCATTCTGTAGTACCGACTGGTCTATTTTATCAAAGGGCAGATTTGCAGGTTCAAATACCAGTTAGTCATACGGGAAATTACAGACAGCTATCTGGTTTTCAAGTACCTATGTTTGGCATGCAGAATTACAGCTCCTAGGTACAGACTGTGAAAAAACCCACAACCTGATGCCAGTACAACAGAACTAATTTTTTTTATTTTATTTCACGGGTTTGTTTCATGACACCAGTTGAAAATAATAATAAAAAAGCTTTCTACCTCTTGTGGTGTATCCTCCAATAACGTAAATCTTGCCCTTGCACTCGCAAGCTGAGAATTCTGCAAGAGGATTTGGCATGGATGCTACAAAACTCCACCAGTCATTTTCTGGGTTATAGCACTCCACATTGGAAAGGGATTGACCACCAATGGCATAGAGCTTTCCATTTACAGCCAACAGCTTAAAATTTGACCTGAAAGACAAAGATCGCAGCACTGAAATAGGTTAAACAAATGCACAGAAAAACAGAAGAAAGAAACTTCTTCCCAATCAGGCTCCAACACATTTATCATCACATTGTATCAATTAATATTTTACAGAATCTGAAGAGTCCAGTGCATGTTCAAAATTCTGTAATTACACTTTAATTTTTCAGGACAGCAAACAATGGCATTTTGATATAAATGATGCTGATGCTGAGACTAATTAATATTTTATTTTGGATTTCAGTCTATGGCAGTTTGAGCTGTAAATGTTTCGTTAATTAATCTGTTCAGTAGATGACTCATTTTTAATACTGAAGTACATTTTATTGAAGTACCTTTAGCACAGACAAATATATTATGTATACAAACACAGTCAAGAAGATTATTTCAGTTAAAATTACAGAAATTTCAAACAGGACTATCAAGTGTAGGAATGCATACACATTCTGTTATACAGTCTCTTTAATAACCTTAACAAATAGAAATGTAATGTGGTAAACACTGAATTGCATCCTGCACTAGAGAAAAAAGAGAAACTCCTGTACCTCATTTAGCATTAATTTAGACTGCTAAAGACACTCTCCATCCCAATGAAGGAAGATGTATCTGTAAATTAATGTTCCATTCATAGCTGAACAAAATACACTGCACTTCATAGATGATGATCTGTTTTTATTTCTTATTCTACTTAATTAGGTTGTTATATTTTATCCATAACAAAGGGTAACTGCCCAGTTACTGAAGTGCAAGAAGCCTTACATCTCACAGTTTTAAGTCAATATAGAAATAAGTAGTCTGTGGATAGCAGAATGCAAGCATGTAGGATCTGAAGTTCAATCTGTCCCTTTTGGCTGTGGAAGATGTTCTCATAAAGTCTTTCTTCAGAAACAGTCCTGCTCACAAGCCTATGCCATCATCTAAGCAAGGTTATTCCTTCTGTACTGCCCATCTCAAGCCAAATCCACGAGATTTTACCACACAGTATCCTGATTAACTAAGTGCATGAAAGTCATTGGTGTGCAACAGATTAACACAAAAACAAATGGGGAACTGCATTATATCTGCAAATCTGTGGTGCTTTAGCACTGCACTGGCCTGCTGAGCTGTAAAGTAAATTTCATTCCCCATGAATCCAAGATCAAAAACTTACCACCAAGCAGTTTTGCAGGGTTTTATCTGGACAAAACAAACCTCTAGCTGCAGACTGTTCTGCAACTTCTTTTCATTAAATGTATTCAGGATAAAAAAAAAAATTGTTTCCAGATGGAATCATTCTGTTCCTGTCATCCTGAGAAAGTTTTGAAAACTAAAAAGCTTCTTTGAAGGAATTAATTGCCCTTTTTTTTTTTTTTTATGGTGATCAATTGTGGGCACAAAATGAGGATAATCATTTCAAAAACATAATTATTTTTAAAGTAATCTATCTCTTGTAAGACTTATGATGTAGAAAAAAGTCCATAAACTAGCAGAGACAAAAAAGAACAAACAAACCACCACCATCACCACAAACAACCCAAACCATAGTAAAACTTCATTTTCCAAACATCCTTTAAAATCAACATTAGAAAGTCTGCAACTTTGTGTCCATGATGGAGATGGTACAGGGTTTTTGGCTTACAAAATGAGTTTGTACCCACAGAGACGGTGTTTCATTATTAAAATTTACTAGTAACATTTAATATGCTAATTGCTGCAAAAGTAATGCCTCCTGTTTATTTCTGTAGAACTGCAATAGATGCAAAGAGAACAATAACACTATTTGACAGAGCAAATTCTCAGCTACTGAACACCTTTTTTCAACATGGCCACCACCACTAACTACGCACACTTCAGCAATGAAAAGGAGCATGCGTGCTGCACGTATATGGATTTTTATCCACACCAACAGAAGTGACACACTGTTGCTGTCACCACTGCTGAAACACACCACTCACCACTTCACTGTGCTAACATCTATTGTTCGGTCTCCATACGTTCAGCAACCCTCAATGGAGGTCAACTAGGTGCCATTTTTTCCTGTGTGGAGGAATTCAGTTTCACACCTCTGTTTCATAGGCACTTCCATGCCAGATGCCATTTTGTCAAACTGTTTCCTTGCTGCCATCTGTCACACGGCAACAAAATTTAATGGCCTATCAACAGGAAGGTTCAACCTGTACTGCCATACCACCAGCATCCACCTCAGATGCTGTGGACTAACGTAACAAAATATGAGACATTACTGTCAGAGTAGCACTTGTACATGCTATAACTTCTAGAAGATAAGACGTGAAAAACAGGTGTCCAAATACATAAGAATTCAGGTTTCCTAATTGACACTCGCTTCTCTGGTAAGCCAATAATTTTAACTCCTGCTGGAGTGATTCAACCACTTCCAACATTCATTAAAATGGATGACAATCAGTGCAAGTATCTCAGATTTATGGGCTATGTTACTCAAAAGCTGCAACAAGTACCTATTAGCACACTTTACATGAATGTTTGGACAACAGCCCAATACATTATGAAAAACAACTCCCATTCACCTTTCCTTGCCAGTAACAGCAGGTGTTTTTATGGAGAGAGAATATTAAGAAATACTTTGTGTGTTTTTACACTCTTAATGTGGTGGAGAAGCTGGAAACAACAACAACAAACATGGAGCCAGCTCTCTATAACAAGCTCTCCATAACAAGTGTTCCATGGACTACAGCTTGGAAACAACCAAGCTTAAAAGTTTGTCAGATTCAGCTGTGGTAACTCCACTCACTTATGTGAGTTACCTAAACTCAGGAACATGAAATACTCTCTAGTGATTATCCCTTCTTGTCGGGACATGGCTAAGTCTTCTAAAGATGTTCATTTCCTCTTGAAAGTTGTCCCAGGAACACAGTCAAGAGCAGGTTCTACAGCAGTTCAAATTACAACTTTTTTCATTCATTGAAAGAAGTGCAGAGTGCTTCATGCAGGAAGGAAAAAGAATCTAATGTACAAGGACCAAACAGTCGGAATGCATAACTTTCCAAACATTTTGTGAAAAGTGTAGGTTGCTCAGGATTGCATTAACAACCATATAACCTGTCTATAAGAGACCACTGGCTATGAAGAAGAGAGCTATTTTGTTCACTGACAGTGACCTTACTCATTTAGTATATAAAAAGTTAGCTTAGAAATTTGAGAGGATTTTCTGATCAGGGAGGTAGCTAAGTATGGAAATAAGTTACTTCCAAAGCGCTTCACATTTATTGCATGAACTATTCTTTATACATCCTTTATATGACTGCAGAACACACTGCTTCCATACTTGAGCTTTGGAAGCACGGATGATATATTTGTGATAGATGTGACATGTATATTTTTTACCTGAAATTTTTTGAAAAAAACTATTTTCACCCCCAGCAAAGTGCAATTTTAAAGGGGAAAAAAAAATATTAAAAAAAAAAAAAAAAAAAAAAACACAAAAAAAAGAAAGAGGAAGTCTCCTAACCCATTACCAATCCCTAGGAACATTCTCTCCTGCATTCCTGTAAGAGTCCCCAGAGTGGCAGCAGTTCAGGCAGAGATGGCTCACAAAAACCGTATTCAAAGTGCACGTATATAATCTCAGCCAGGGGCTTAAAAGGGTCTTCCAAGACTATAAGATTTATCTGCCATGAGAGTGCTGAAAGAAAATAAACATGAAATACACAGCTGTGACTGGAACATGCAGTAGAAATCCTATATTATTTCTACATGGTCAATTTAAGCTGCTAGCATAAGAAAGAAAAAAAAAAGAAAAAAAAAAAAGAGTATGGAAAGGTACTGAAATACATGACTTGAACCTCAAATTTCCTTATTACCTTCCTATCCCCAAAGACCCCAAGTAGTCTTAGGCAACCTTTACATGAAGTTTCTTCCTCAAAGAAGTCCATGTAGTTCTCTGAAGACACTATTCCAAGCACAGCAACACCTCTAGAATGAAAAAAAAATTAGAGATCTAGAAACTATGATCTGTTATGGATTAGTTATGGCTGGCATCAGATTTAGCCTCAGATGATGAGAAATTCCTGGCTCAGACACCAGCTCCCTATGAACCTGGGCAAATTATTTTATCTAATTTTTGTACGTAAAAAAAGGACATAATATTTTCTCAAATTTACATGGGCATTGCAGGAATAATATATGGGAGCTACCTATTATAAATGAATTTAAAATGATTGTAGTAAAATCTCTATGCCTAGAAAGAACTAAAAGCTATTACACAAACCAGAGTATTCAGCATATATCTGACAGTTTTTTTCTATTTAGAGGTAAGTTGGGAATATTTCACCTATGCATGCATAATGCATAATGCATCCCAACATCCTCAGTTTCTACATTATAATAAAGCAAATAGTTAAAGAGTTAAATAGTTAAAGTTAAATTTTAGGATTCACAAGTTCCTTGAGGGCAAAATACTTGATTCAAATGAAATAAACACAGTTATATCCATAACTATATCCATAACTTTTATTCTTCTCATTCTTCTCTTAAAGCCAACACATGGTTCCAGTCACAAAGGCCAAATCTAAACACTGCTAAAATGCTGTCTGAAGTCAAACCCACTTCAGTGAGAAGTAGAACTTTCTCTCAAGGTATGTAAAAGACACACCCACAATATGTAATTGTATCAGCTGACATCAACTAACTTGGTAGACAGCCAAACAAGCCAATTACCTAAGCAGTATACTAGGCAACTGCCCTGCTTGTTTTTACTGCAGCAGAACAAACTAAAAATGCAATACGAAGCAAACTACATCTCATCTAATCAGCAGATTGGAATCAGTGCTGCTCCTGTTGAATGTAAACACTGAGTACAAAAATTCCTTTCCCCTTCTTATCTCCCACAGCACAAGCCATCCTTCTTTGGATTTTGGCCACAAGCTGCTCAGCTGGTCAATCTGGTAGTTTCATAGAGTTGAAATGTTAGGTTAGAGAAGCTAAAAAAAGAAAAAAAAAACTTCAGGGTTGAGACTCCACAAAGATGTTGAAGTTAACAAGTTTTATGATGGGATTAGTAGAGTTTCCATGAAAGATTTCCCCTACTCTTTATTCATGAAGCTACATCCTCATTAGCTGCCATCCAGCCTAGAAGGCAATATGATGTTTGCCCCTTTTAGCCTGCAATTGCTACACTGAAATGTAAGACTGGTGACTATTTCAAAAAATCTATTTGCATGCTCCTTTTCCGACATAAACTGCCAACATGAAATCCCATGCTGAGTAACACCTGCCAGGTGTTGTGGGCTTAAAGATTGTTGGCAAGGTAGTGCAGATGAAAATATTAATAAAAGGAGAAATCATTTATTTCTTTCATGTAATGACTATATATCCTAGAAAAAAATGGGAAAGTGTGAAAGCAAAAGTCTCATTTAGAATTTGAACAGTCAGGTAATAAAGTGGAGGAAAAAAAAAAAAAAAAAAAAAAAAAGGGCCTTTAACAATACATTTTTGAAACCCCTCTCATTTGCCATGCTGCAGAGTTATTTCACATAGTAACACCTACCTTGTTATGGACACCATGCAAACCAATACCAAAATTCATAATTTGATCAAAACAGGGCTTCTACAGGAGACACTGATTGGTTTGATCTGTCATTCTTTTCTACTGAGTCTAACGTGGTTTCTGCAATTTTGGCAGGCAATGTTGTATAGACCAGGCCTACCAAAACAGCTCAGTCCCCAAAGGTGCCTCCAGAGATTACCAACAGACTGCAAGAAATACACACACAGAAAGAGCTGTTCAGTGTTTAAAAGCTAAACACCTCGTAGCAGTTATTTGTACAGTGCCTTTCCAACAAACCAGACACACCCTATGTTTCCAATCAATTCCAATGACTGACCAGGTAGGCAAAATTTCAGTGAATTTCTCACAATGATAAACACAGGCAGTGAAAGAAGCTTGAAGTAGAAAATTGGTCATTTTAGGTCAAACCTCTGTTTTTGAGGCATTTTAGCATGCAAGCTCAACTGGAAGAGAGATTACAGATTTACTACACTAATTCAAAGCATTCATGCCAATGGTTGGGGTCTCTGGCTGCTACTTCAATTTGTTGGACAGAAAAGAGAATTTTCATTCTTAAGCAAATTCTAGACTCCCTACTTACTTCAGCTCTGATTCTGATACAGAAGAAAAAAAAAAAATTAAACACTTTTTTCTAAAATGAAATACCTAGAAAATTTATTTTTGATATTTTGTTTCAATGAAGTAAAAGCCTGTATTTTGATGACTCTTCAACACGACTAAGGCCGAGCAGCCACAGCCTTTCCTGGGGAGAAGGACTCTTCTTGGGTCTTCATCAACACTAGCTCCCTAAACAAGTTTCTGAATAACAACTTCATCAGAAACATTAAAAGAAAAATAAATAAATAAATCAAGATGCTGAATGTTTACTAGGCCCAAATAGTCTCATAAATTGAGAAATTTCTGACTATCTTCCTGCCATTTTTTTCTGGTAAACACTTCACAACAATGCAGACCTACGAAACACTGGGATTTTTATAAAAGTACAAACTAACAGCAATCTTTTTCAGCAATCCCTAACTCTGACGGACTGAACACCTCTATTATGAGTAGTAAAACTTCTTACCACATAGAGTACTGAAGCTAAAATTTACAAAAAAAAAACAGTAGATTTTTCTTTTGTGTTGTTTTGTTATCTTAAATGGAATTCCAACTACCAGTACTGATGGCTGTTTAGAGAGACCAGAGCTCCTAGAACACTATGATTTAAAGGAAAAATGGGAATCCACCATTACTTTACACAGAGGTGAAAGTGACCACATATGGCAGATGGCCACATCTCAGTACTCAGCTGATGCCTAATTCCCATTTCCCCACAGCTGTGGCTTCAATCACCTGCATTTGCTCACAATCCCATTCTCCTCACTCTTCCTATAGCAGCTCCCTGTGCCCAATTCTAGGGTCACCAAGAAGCAGAGAGGCTGCCAAGCTGTGCCACAGCTGGGGGGCTGCTGCCAGCAAAGCCAAAGCCTTTAGACTGCCATGCTACTGCCAAACCCTTCAGTCCTTCCCATCACACGGTGCAAGAGACAGCTCTGAATCACTACTTGTAAGGTTGCGTCTGTCCAACTCCAGGTGACTCAGCAGTTTCTGTTTTGAAAACAGACAGGGACGCATGCGCACACCAGGGTGCAGAGGTTACCTCTTCTGGTTCATTGAAGCCAGCTGACTCCACTCATTTAGGCAAGGGTTGTAACAATGGGCAGCTGAGATTTCCTGACTGGTGGTGATCCGGTACCCCCCAATGATGAAGAGATAGTTGTCCAGCATGGCCGACCCGTAGCCTCGCACGTTCACCAGATCTGGAGGTAGGTTGTTGGCCAGGGGTAGCCACTGCTCTGCTTCCTCGTTGTACCTCAGCATGGACCACGGGGCCTCTGGCTGTGGGTGACAGCCTGGGGACAGGCCCAGGGATGAGGTACCCATGAAGTCCCCAATGGCTACCAGAGTGGCAGTGCCTCTCATCCGCCTCTCCTTCAGGTGCTGTTGGAGAGCATGAGGCAGATGGAGGTGGGTATCGGGCCTGCGCAGCACCTGGTGGTAATGGGAAGCCATGAAGTCCAAACAGGCATCGTGCAGGTCCTGCAGGCCATAGACCTGGGCCAAGTGGTGTAGCTCCAGACAGTTGCCCAGTCGCACCTGGGAGAGCAGCAAGCGCAGCAGGGGAGTGACCTGCAGGTAGGAGGCGGCCTCCACCAGCTCCTCTAGCAGAGGGGGCTCCTCCTCACCCTCCTGCTCCAACCAGGCCAGGCAGGAAGTGTTGATGAAGTCCAGCACCAGCTCGAGTCCTAGCGCGCTCAGCCCTCCGCGCAACAGCTGCTCTTCCTGGCCCTGCCCTGCTTCCCGCATACCCGAACGGTACAGGGCTCGGAAATAGTCGCTCTGTTCGATCAGCTTCCTCTTGCACACCGGGTAGCACTTGTCTCCCAACCGGATCTGAACCACTTCCTCCCCGCCGCCGACTCCTTCCCCCTCCTCTTCCTCCATTCGCTGTCGCTCCGCAAGGGACATCGCGACCCCCTACAACCCAACCCGGCCGCTGCCGGCCCCAGCCGGCTCCACCTCTGCCCCAGGGATCGCTGCCGGGTAGGAGGAGCTGAGCCGGCAAAAAAAAAAAAAAAAAAAAAAAAAAAAAGCCCTAAAAAGGGAACGCCGCTGTGCTCAGCCGCCTTGCTCCACCCCCGTGAGCCCGCTGCTGGCCCTCTGAGAGCCCGCTGCAGGGTGGGGAGCAGCTGTTCACGTCCTCCTCACGCTGCCTGAATTGGGCCGGTCGCGCTGCCCCAACCCGCTGCCATAAATGTCCCTGTGGTGAAGCTCTACAGCGGGGGGAATGTTCTGGAACGTGGGATGAAATGCGTGTGACCCTGAACAGCTAAGGGGTGGTGGCAGCGCGATTCGCTGCTGTTCTGCATAACAAACACAACGAAAAGAAACATCTTTCACTTCTAGTTCCAGGATTTAGTAACTCTTACTGTGCTCCTCTTGTGCAGGTGCCAGCTCCTCTTTTGGCGTATAGAGACACTGTAACCTTTTCTGCTATTCTGTCTTTTCTATTTAAGCTAAGTTCCAGGAATAGGAAATACGTGTTAGTCACCAGAATCATCCCCAAGCAGAGCCCTGATCTTGTTTGCATAAGTAACCAAGGAGTTAATAGCTGAGCATCTAGCTTCATGTTTAAAGTGGCTGCTCTGGTGCTGGCCTTATTGCATGCATGAAGCACAACGGAAGTGGTTGTTTTTTCTTTTTCTTTTTTAAACTTCTGAAACAGGTGATGCTGTAATAAGTACTCTTACATAATGACAATTAATATAAAATGCACAACAAAAAGGCTTTAACAATCTATTCTCCTATTTATATATATATATATAATTTTCATTCTATGCATTTCTAGTCTATAGAGTTGTTTTTTTCCTTTCAGCATTAATGTGACTTATCTCCAGTTACTGCAGATTGTATAGATCTCAGGTAAATCCCTTCTTGCTCTGCTCATTTCCTCCTGTTAATAGAACTCTTCAGAATGACTGGGTTTGGTTTGGTTGATTGCTTGTTGTTTTTTCATTTGTTTTAGAAAAACAGTTGTTTGCTTTTTAGAATTTCCTCTGAGAAATGATCCTCTCTCATTTTTTTTTTTCTTCAGCTACTTTATCCTAGTCCATACAGATGATATCAATGCCAAGCTCAAGGTTAAAGGTGTTATTTTCTGCCAACTTTCACAAAAGCATGTATGCGTTGAAGTAGGGTAGATTTCTCTTCATTTTTATTTTCCATCTCAGTTCAAAAGCAAGATGATGCAAGTGCTTTAAATGGCCTGTTTTGTGGTATGAAATCCTTTCAGTCCCAAAGCAGTTTCAGCAGTTTCAGTGATATCATTCACAACAAGCTGAGGTTCCTACCTCTTCAGAAGAAATCCAATCTATACATCCTATTGCACTATAATTCCCAGAGCCAGACATTTCAAGTCATTGTAATGGTTAACATCCTACATGTAAACAGAGAGCTCATGCCTGTTAAGGCCATTAAGATTCCCTCTGGAATACAGTGTGATTGCCAACATGGTGGTATGTTTGCCATCTTTAGACATCTGGTTTGGAATCTCATATGTTTGATGTACTGGCAAGTTAGCTACTAATTGGTGAGTGATTTTTTCCATGTAGTGAGTTATGATAAGTTCTGTTCCCTTTAAGTAAGAACACCAGCACCTAAATAGTATATTTCTGCTGCTGCCTTAGTGTCTTCCTGTGTGCTTTCACCTGTCACTCTGCTAGGGATTTCAAGCTCACCTTCCATGAGATTTTTATTAGACAGCATCACTTCTGTAATGTACTAATAGATGTGAGTACTTTCTTCCCACCACTTCTGAGAGTGCTAACTTCTGTAGGTCTCATTGTAGGAGTTGCCATATGCACAGTGAGACAGCAGCACTCCTTACTAAGTAGCCACTTGTGCAGAAAGCTTAAATCTGTTTCCTCAATCTATGGTTTTTCCTAGACTGATTCTCAGCTACCTATGTTTTTATCCATGCTTTAGGACTCGGCAATTCTGTTAAGTCAGAGCACACTGGCAGGGTAGATCTTCTGCTCTCTTACTGTATTAATCTGCGTGCTGTGTTTACGTGGTGCTAATGCTGCAGTTGTATCAAGGTAATGACTGCCTTTTTGTTCCACATTTGTACACATAATTTGATCTGTCTCCCAGTCCACAGATATACTGTAGTATATATAGGTATATATATACTACAATATATATATATGTATAAATATATATATATATATAGCTATAACTTTAGGTATATATATATACCATATATACTATAATGTAGTATATTGTATATACTACAATATATATATACCTATACATATATATATACCTGTACCTATAGGTATATATAGTATATATAGGTAATATATATCCTGCTATACTGGAGTCAAAGAAAAGGTCTTGCTGTTTCACTAGCAGTCATCTTAGCTGATCTTAAGAGAGTAAGCAACGTATTTTTCACAGCTGAAAGTGGAAATCTCTAGTGCTAGAACTACAAAGTCAAAATCTGTAGGCAATTATAAAAACAGGCGTGATCTTTGAAGCAAATATGAAAGACTATCTGTATCTCTAACAAGTTGAAGCATAGAACAACATGAAAACAAGTTTGGTAGATATTAAACAAGTGTGTGTAAAAAGAACATGACCCAAAGAACAAGACATTTACACAGCGAGGAAGACAAGTGTAATTATGCTTGGCTTTTCAATGCCAAACGTTAGGATTTGAGCTTCTGGAGTGAAATCTTGAAGCTTGTTTTAGATGCTTCAGGTCTCCATCTACAGTGTCTGAGAGACAAATTAATTTCTAAAAAAAAAAAAAAAAAAGAAAACGCTCGTGTGCCAGTAAATAAAAAAGGAAGTTACCAGTAATGGTCAGTAAAGGGCTCTCACCCTTGAGATGGCCATTTCTGCTTGGCATTCACAAGCTAGATACATCTGCTTGTGTGCAGTACCTAAGCTATTCTCTTTACTTAATGCCTAAATTGTTTCCAGGACTGAAAAAAAGATCACTCTTTTCTATTGGAAAGACTCAGAAATGGAAAAATCTCTTTTACACAGCAGCCTTTGTAACAGACCATTCAACCATGATATGGGAAAACTAAGCTTCTGATCCCAACTGTGCCTGGGCAAACATTCTTATAGTTCTCTGTCTTTCCTAGCGTAGCAAAAATAAGGAAAGAGAGAGTCAGGAGGAACTGCTGCTGCTACAAATCAAAACAAAGTAAAGGTAGAGATAACAGAGAAGTGGTACTTGTGCGTGGCTCCCCGCTTTAATCCCTCACGGAGAGCATGGATGCACAGAACAGCTATAAGGCTGGTGCATGCCTTCTGTGTGTGCTAAGACTGAAGCCTGATTAAACTTTAGGGTCACTTTAGGTATTTAACACCACTACAATTTACTTAGTAAGCTATGGTCACTTATTTTGTCTCAGCAAACCACTTGATGATTTTCTGTGGCAAGCTGGATAGGTCTCCAGTCTTTTTTCCTATGATATCTCTACAAAGTACCAGCAACCGAAGTATCAGTCAGAGAATCAGATTGACAAATGCTTTTCTTCACAGGAAACTTGGTTTACATACACATAAAATACAGCCTGAGATGATGGACATGGTGAGAGTCCCTCTCCATTCTGCATTTGTGAGGTGCCATCTGGTGAATTGCATCCAGGTTTGGGGACCCCAACACAGGAAAAGACGTGGATCTTTTGGAGAGGTTCCAGTGGAAGGCCATGAAGATAATCAGAGGACTGGAATACCTCTCCTATGAAGACAGGCTGAAGGAGCTGGGCTTGTTCAAGAAGGCTGTAGGGAGGCCTTATTATAGCTTTCCAATATTTAAAAGGGAGATTATAAACGGGATGGAATTCAACTTTTCGCATGGGTAGATAGTGATTGAACAAGGGAGAATGGTTTTAAACTAAAGAAGGGATTAGATGTCATGGGGAAATTTTTTTTTACAGAGTGGGTGGTGCTTACACAGGCTGTCCAGAGAGACTGTGGATGCCCTATCTATGGAGGTGCTCAAGGCCAGTCTGGAGGCAGCCCTGGTCAATCTGAATTGGTACTTGATATAGTGGTTAGCAACCTTGCCTGTGGCAGGGGGCAATTGGAACCTGATGGTCCTTGAGGTCCCTTCTAACCCAAACCATTCTATGATTCTGTGACCCTATGATTTCTTTGTGAGTCTAGCCCAAGACTGCATAAAAAATCTGCAGCAGTAGAGAACTGCATTGTTTTGTGTATGTTTTAAGCAAACCTTATCTTGATTTAATACAGAGGCACTGGGTGATACATGGGAATTAATAAGAAACATCAAGCTGATTGTTTTAAGGACCGGACATGAAGAGGGCAAAAAAAAACCCAAAAAACAACAAGGTAAACTCTAAATTCCTTTCACCATGTCGGTCTGAAATGTGAGCTGGAAAATCAGGGGTTGTTTAAAATATTAATGCTATAATATAAAGTGCCACATTCTTCCCTCTGGATGCCAGGGAATTGTACTGTACTGCCAGGGAACTGTATATTGAAAAATAGTAAATTACTCAAGAAAGGAATTAGTCTTTGGAAACAACTCACTAGCTGTTGCCATTATTTAGTATTTTCCTTGTTACGATATACAAAGTAAGTATCTGTGGAACATAGGAAATATCCTGCACTATTTCAGAATAAAAAATGTCAGTGTTTTAAATTATATTTGCATTTCTAAGAAAACCTGACTGGAGCATAATTAGGCTTTAACTGAAATCTTTATCATTTGTGAAGAATGAGCTGCTGCAGCATCTGATGCATGGACTCAGATGTGAACGATCCAAATCGTTTATTACAATTTCTCACATCATTTATGTACCTTCACAAGTTTTCTTTTTCTAGCTTTCCCATCCACCCTACAACTTTCCCATCCATCTTTACATGTCAACAAAGCATTCTGCAAAACAGTCTTCAACCGTTCACGCAGGCACTTATCCAATCAGAGCTGTGAGACATTCTTTCTTCTTCTACAAGTGTCCGTGGTTCTCATGATGTTTAGTTTATTTTGCTCCACTGCTTCTGCTCTGAACAGTTTTTCTTGTATTCCCACAAACTGCTAACCAAAGGCTTTTTTTTTTTTCCTCTCCATATTTGTAGCCAAACAAAGCATTTCTTAGCACTTCTTATACAATTCCATTAACAATATTATTAAGGAAAAAAAAAACACCAAACACTCATTTTTAATTTCACATTTTGATTTTATTCCCTATTCTTTTGTTTAATTTTTTTCTGCACTGAATGTACAATTTAGTATTTATTGATTGTAACACAAATGTTTTATAAAAGACTGCTTGCATGATGAAAAAATGCTTGCATGATATTTTTGGAATCAAATTTAATGAATGATTAAGACTAGACTGTATGTCACAGGCAACAGAGGCTGTTCTAATTGTTTGTGTACTGTTGTTTTACGTGGATTGTGGTAAGTTTCAGCCACCAGACAGCAGAATCGAGGTGGGAATGTGTAAATAGTTAAAATGCTGTTTAGTTGCTTTGAACAAATTCATTGGGCATGCCTAGGCCAGAATTTTCTTGCATAACTTTGTCTAGAGGAGAGTAAAGTGGTAGCTGTTAAAACATCACGCACATTTCTATCCTCACATAAACAGATGGAACCAAGTTTTAGTACAAAACAAGTGGGTTAGATAAACAGTATTCTGCATGGAAGGTTTTCACTATGCATCCAGCAGTATGAATTTTTTCACAATATTGAAACTCCATCTATTTTGCTTAGCTCTCTGTTCTGTCATAAATAAATGTTCATCATACATTGGAAAGTTTGCTAAACATTGTGCCCTTTTGTCATAAACCTGGCTGAAGTTTATATGTAGGCTAGTAGATTTATATCTGTATAAACTAATCTGTCTAAGCCTTATGTTACTCTTTGTTTGAACACAAGGACTCCAGCTTTCATATTGAAGCTTTGCCAGAATTATTTTGAGGCTAAGTTCTGAGAGAATCTTAGGGCCTGGCAGCCCCTTGGAAACTATGTTTAAAATATGTTTTCTTTTTTTTTTTTTTTCCACAATCTCTCAAGGATAGAAAATGTAAAGGTTTACCTCTTTTTACCAGAGAAGAAATACAGAGAAATGTGTTTATAATCAGAGTCTTGGATCCAACTATCCCAAAATTTGGAGAAAATTCAATTTATTAAGAAGTCAGTATATTGTTCCAAACCAAAATCTTACTGCTAATAGTTGTTTTTAACAGAAGTTATCTCAAGAAATCTAGGGTTTATTTGTTTGTTTACTTAAAACACTTCACAGATATATTTTGATTTCGAGGAAATTTGAAAGAAGAAAGTGAACACAGTTTTTTCCAGTAGTGTCAGAGATATTTTGCATTTATATATGTTTCAAAGTATTGTATTTCATTATTTCATGATACATCTACAACTTCTGGACTGTAAGAGTCGCAGTGATATATTCTGACATTATCGAAATATTCAGGCTTAGGTAAAATTTTTATCTTTTCACTTCTGTAGTAAAATAAAAAACACATGTATGTACTTAAGTCAAATGAGATGAAGATTTCAGTCTTGCATCTCGGCTGCAATTGTCCACTTTCAGCTGCTCTATCAGTCTATAACACAAATGGATTAAGTCAGGCATGTCCAATCTGCAGGCTGTGTGCAGCATCACACAACTCACTATGCATCCCACCCTCTGTCCTGCACCGTAATGGCTGTGTCTCTGCCACACCAAGCAACCCAGCCAGCCCCTAAGCACTAATCAAACATTAGCTTTTATTGCTGTGCAACAGATGGCAGCCAAGGGGCAGTCTGACAAAATGGCATCTGACATGGGTATGAGGCAAAGCTGTAGAAATGAATTCCTCTGTGCCAAAAAAATTGCACCCACTGATGTTTATCAACACTTGCTGAATATATATATAGACACCAAATAGTGGATAGCAACACAGTGAGGCAGTGGGTGGTGCATTTCAGCAGTGGAGACAGCAATAATTGGTCACCTCTGCTGACAGATTTTTACAAGTAGAGTATGCCGCCTTTTGTTCATCACTGGCCAAAACACATAGTTAATGGTGGTGACTATGTTGAAAAATAGCATTGTGTAGATGTGAGTTTTCTTTATCAAACGATGTGGCTGTGCTCTTTGTATCTGTTGTCATTTCTGTGGAAATAAATAGGAGATACTACTTCTTAAGCGACCTATGTAAATGCAGCCCAAGACAATTCCTCTTCAATTAATGCAGCCCAGGCAAGACTAAAGGTTGGACACACATGATTTAAGCTAATGTGTATGACTTCAGCTGCAGTAGAGAACATATATATACTGGTTTCTATATTTAGCAGTGGTCAGTTCCTAAGCGTGAAAGAGGCTGGGTCTGTGTTTGCAAGAATAATTTTCTACGTATTTTCTACACTGTGTATCAACATGGCAGCATCAAGGAGTGATTCTTGGCTGCATACGGGCATTAAGAGCATCTCTTGCTTCTCTCCCATAACCTTCTACAGAGAAGGCCCAGACATGAGGCCCACCTGTTCTCTGTTGTCTAGTCTGCATCTACACGATGGATGCATCCATCTCTCATGCACCTCTGGTTTAACCAGTACTGACAGAGCAGAAAATGGGAAACTTTCCAAGAAAGGACCTAGTGCTGGTTGGGAAAGAGCAAGGTGCAACACTTTCTATCATAGCACTTCAAGCAGAAAAAAAGTGTAATGCCACAAAGCCACAAGGAGACATCTACTGTTCATCTGTTCCCTCTAAGCAGCCAGAGGGCAATTGTGAACAAAGCCGAACTATTTGTGCTCTATAATTTAAGATTGGCTGACCTGACTACAGAATCAAAGCCTTGGCACTTTAGATCACTTTCAGGAACGCTTCCCTGAACCACAGAGATCTTCTTTTTTGGTCTTTACATATTCCAAGTACTAGAAACATATATTCCATATAAGCTAAATAAAAAAGCATATATATATTTGAAACTACAGGTGGAAAAGTTGTCTACTTTTATATAAATCTGGCAAAAAAAGAGTTAATGTCTGATGAATCCTTTGTACTAGTAAGCTTTTGGATTGTGCCACTATTCCTGCCAGCTCAGGTGGAACTCTTCAGGTGCTGTTTCTGTTTATAACAAGAAACATCATTCTTCTCCTTTGTGCCAGGTACACTTGTATCTCTTTTACTGAAAGACCTGCAAATGCATCTGTATTCTTACAGAAAACAGGTAAATGACGGTTTGTTTTCCAGGAAGAAATTTGAGAAGAATGGTGAAAAGAATTACAAATAGCATGATATCTGGCTTGATACCGGAGACTCCTTACTAACAGCAAAAGTCTCTTGATCCCTCCTTTCAGAGCACATGGAACAGTCGGTTACTAGTTTGCAGGTAAGATTCAGATATCTACTTCTTATGAAAAGTTTTAACTAAATTTCAGTATCAAATATGCATTTTCCATCCAAAAGTCAAAGTGAAATTTTGGGTAAGGTGGCAGAAGACTTCGAGCTTTAACAGAAAATACTTTTCAATTTTGCAAGAAAGTTGTCTACGTAATTTATCTATTTATTTCAATATCTTTATGATTCTTTAAACAAGTGCAGCTGTTCCTGCTCTCATAATTTAGTCAGAAACAGAGAAAGGAGAAAGTTTTGAGTAATGAGGTAGAAAATAGCTGCTTAGTTGAAGCAGGCAGCGGAACAGGATAAAAATGAGAAGGTACTGAGAAAGACTAGCAACATGTCTATTGCCAAGCAGTGGCAAACTAAATATAGATATAAAATATATTGCAGATACATAAATCTATACACAACTTGACTGGTTACCAAATCTCAATCTTGAAAACAACATAGTTAAACACAAGGAGTACTTTCACTTGACCGTGTTCGGTGACTGCATCAAAGGCAACAGCAGATATTTGAGTATTTGCTCCTTTAATCAAAATGTGATGCCAGATGAAGACTTAATGAACAGTCTGAAATATGATTAGATGTTCAGGCATGTTTCACATCCAGCGTTACGCTTTATCCTAATGTCTAGAGACAGCATCATTGAAACTGAAGAAATTGTATGATATTTCAAGTCCTTCTAACTGAAATAGGGCACAAGGCTAGTCTTTAATTATCTTTTCCTAAAAAGGAAGAAGTATATCTACATATATAATTTGCAAGGCATCACACTTATATAAAAGCAGATGATGAGTCATCACAGTATTTAGCAACCATAAATATATACACCATTACTGTTAAAGTTACCTATTATATCAAATTTTTTGTCATACAAGTAGTCTAATTCAGTTCAGTGAACTAAAGACATATTCAGCTTTACCCAGTAAAAATGCTTCTTTACTATGAGTTTAATCTTTATGTTCTACATTTCCCCATATTATTCAGAAATACATTATTCAGAAACTCTTCTCTTCTTCGAGAAGAGTTGGAGCAAAGAAAGCAGTCAAGAATGAATATTACTGTATATCAGTCTTACAGACAAAATTCATACTAAATGCTGGAGGTAAAACCACAATACAAGCATATTTTCAAAAAAGTGTGTCTCATTTCAAGTGGTGCGCTGGAATATTTGGAAAGCTTAAACCAAAATGTATCTCAGAAAAATACATTCAGTGGTGCTCGTGACAATGGCAGATGCTTACAATCACCTCTTTGCATTTCACTGACTGCAAAAAAGTATATTGAAACCTGTTCAAGGTTTTAAATAATGATGTTCAGGCAGAGATAAAAACAAAAATAATGCACAACAGACTACAGATAAATAAATCACAACAACAAGTAAAATAACAGAAATGCCAACAGCTCATTTTAAGACAGATGCCTAAATAATTACTTGCTTAGGCTCCTTTTAACGATTTAATGAATGCTCTCACAATAGACATTGTATGAGAACATTATAATATGAAGGCTTCTCAGAATGCAATGTCTTCCATTTTACTGTGTTAGTCCACAACATCGGAGATGGATGTTGGTGTATGACAGTAGAGGCTAAACCTTCCCACCAATATTCAGTTACACATTGTTGCCATGCAACAGATGGCAGCAAAGCGGCAGTCGGACAAAATGATGTCTGGTATGGAAGTGCCTATGAAAACAAAGGTGTGGAACGGAATTCCTCCATGTGGAAAAATGGCACCCACTGATATTTATTGATGCTTACTGAATGTTTATGGAGACCAAACAGTTGATGTGAACACAGTGAGGTGGTCTGTGGTGCTTTCAGCAGTAGTGACAGTGACAGCGGGTCACCTCTGCTGGTAGATGGATGCAGATGGTTACAAGCACAGTATGCTGGCTCTTGTTCGTTGCTGGTGAAAATGCATAGTTAATGACTACACTGCAAGACAGTGTTCTGTAGCTGAAAATTTGCTGAACCAAACAGTGTTACTGTGCTCTCTGTATTTGTCATAGTTTCCATAGAAATAAATAGGTGGCATTACTTTTGGGGTGACTTACATATACATTATAATCATAGACAGTATTTTAGCTGAAGAAATAAATCCTTTGATCTTGCTATTTGGTCAACAGGAGTTAACCTGTGCTGAGCTCATTACCTTTTAAGGAGCTCTGTAAAGAACAAAACTCTGTACGTGCTGTCTCATTTCCAAAATGGGGGATCTGTTTTGCAAAACAAATGCTAGCAGTAATGCCTAAGGAATTAAAATGACCTTGAAACTCTCTACGCATCTCACAGGACAATGCTAATCTTGAAGAAAAAAATTCCTGTCTAAAACACTGTTGTCTGTTTCACACATGATCTTTATGGTAGAAAACTGTATTTCTGCCTAATTCTGTCAGCACTTCTATGTGAGTGTATGTGAACACGTGTATTGTAGCATTTTAAATCCTTTCTGTATGTTATGTTATGTTGCACACAGCAGTGGGAACCAAAGATCAGATTGCATCCTTTTAAGAAACAATATGCACAGGAGTTTCAGGTTTCAGATCAGGTGCTTGAAAAGTTGCCTTCCTATATGCCATCTGTAGTTTCTTACACTCTCACAGGCTTCTTCCAAGCTTTAACGTAAGCAGAAAAATTACAGAATCACACTGAATCACAGAATTGTAGGAGCTGGAAGATTCTATCTAGAGATTGCCTATTCCAACTTCCCTGCTAAAACAGGTTCCCTACAGCAGGTTACACAAGAAAGTATCCAGGTGGGCTTTGAAGACCTTCAGGAAAGGAGTCTCCACAACACCTTTGGGCAGCTTGTTGCAGTGCTCAGTCACACTCAAAGTAAGGAAGTTTCTCCTCATGTTCATATGGAACCTCCTGTGTTCTAGTTTGTGCCTGCTGCTCCTTGTCCTGCTGCTGGGCACCATTGAAAAGATCTTGGGTCCATCCTCTTGACACCTGCCCTTTGGATATCAATAAGCATGGATAAGATACCCATCTCAGTCTTCTCTTAATCAGCTACCTGCTATTATGAAACCTTCTTGAAGTCATCCATCACAAAACTGCTTAAGTGTTTTTGACATAGTCTCTTATCAATTAAGTTTGAACCACCTGATTAATATAAACAAGCAATAAATAAATACTTTTAGAAGTCAGTATTTCCTAGAATACAATCCAGTAAGCTGGAGTTTTAACCTGCATTTTTAGTTACTGTAAACATGTTATATGTTACATGTTATTTTGACAGTGCAAACCATTCAGTATTCTTAAATATGTGAAAGATTAAAGGCAGGACTACAATTACTTCTCTAGTCTGCAGACAAATGTAGAGGATGATTTGGGAAACTGCAGACCAGTCAGCTTCTCCTCTGTCCCTAGAAAGATGATGGAATTTGCTCTGGATACTATCCCCAAACAATTGGAAAAGAAGGAGGTTTTCAGGAGTATGGATTCAACAGGGGGAAATCATGCTTGAGCAACCTGGTAGCCTTCTCTGATGTCTTGGCTGCCTGAATAGATGGGGAGAGAGCAGTGGATGTTGTGTACTTTGACTTCAGCAAGACATTTGACACTGTCTCCCACAGTATCCTTGTAATGAAGTTTAGAAAGTACAGGATAGATGAGTGAACAGTGAGATAGGTTGAGGATTAGCTGACTGGAAGAGTTCATAGAGTTGTGATCAGTGGCATAGAGTCTAGCTGGAGTCCTGTAACTAATGGGTCCTGTAACTGACCCTAGGGGTCAGTGCTGGGTCCGGTTTTGTTTGTCAGTGATCAGGATGATGGAATAGAGCCCACCCTCAGCAGTTTGCTGGTTATATGAAGCTGGGAGGAGTGGCTGACGTTCCAGAAGGCTGTGCTGTCATTCAGCAGGACCTAGACAGATTGAAGATTTGGGTGGAGAGGAAACTCATGAGGTTCAACAAAAGCAAGAGTCCTACACCTGAGGAGAAATAACTATAGGTTAATGAACTGTCTGCTGATGAGTAGCTCTGCAGAGAAGGACCTGGTGGATAACAGGTTAGCCACAAGCCATTCATGGCCTTGTAGCCAAGAAGTCCAATTTTATTCTGGGTTGCATTAAAAAGAGTAAGTTTAACAGGTTGAAGGAGGTGCTCCCCCTCTACTCTGCCATGATGAGGCCAGATCTGGAATACTATGTCAGGTTCTGGGCTCCCCAGTTCTAAAAATACAGGTATCTCCTAGAGAGTCCAGTGGATAGTGACAAAGATGTTAAGGGGCTTGAAGCATCTCCTATTTGAGGAAAGGCTGAAAACCTGCGTTTGTTCAACTTAAAGAAGACTGAGAAGGAATACGACCAGTGCTTATAAATATCTACAGTGCAGGAGTCAATTGCACAAGTCCAGACTCTTTTTAGTGGTGTATAGTAATAGGACAAGAAGCAATGCCCAAAAGCTGGAACACAGAAAGTTCCACGCAAATATATAGAAGAACTTCTTTACAGTGAGGATGACAGGGCACTGGAACAGGTCACCCAGAGAGGTTGTGGAGTCTCCTTCTTTGGAGATATTCAAGACCTGTCTGGGCACCTACCTGTGTGACCTACTATAGGAAGCCTCCTTTAGCAGAGTGTTGGACTTGATGATCTTCTGACCTCTGCAATTCTGTGATTCTGTAGGTTACAGCCTTCTCTAGACATAGTAATCTATTGCTAGATCCTTGCAAATAAAATCATTCCACTTTTACAACAGAAGTAGAGTGGAGAAGAACAAATTTTCACCTCTGGCTGGCAGACATTATTAGATGCTTCAGTTTGTTACTCAAAAAGGAAACTAAATTTGCAAGAACCAGATAATTCAAAATGCATTAAGAAACTAAGCGGAGCTGTTCTTTCTGTACTGAGAGTAGCAGTGAGGACGAACTAAGTAGCAGACCCACCTGCTCTCAAATGACAGGGCTGCATACTTTCAGAGCTGAGGTGAAACAGAATACTGTGCTTACCATTATTTGTCACACACTAAGGCTGTCTGCATAGTTTGGTCTTAGAAGGACTTACGACAAACTTGAGATTACAGAAGCAAGATCTCTGAATGACTACAAGCAGTACATGCACAAGCCTGTTGTCTCTCAAAAACTTTCTCCAAATAATGCAGAGAAAAACAGTAATTATTATTATAATCATATGTAGCTCATAGAATGACTGCTTCCCTTGACAGCAGGCCAAACAGCATCACCAGAATTGTTTGAAAAAAAACTTGTCTTGACTTCTTCCCCTGGCAGAATTGGTAGCGTCCTTATGACTCGAGATAATGTCTCTTAAAAAGCTGGTCCAAACTTCAGCACATCCATGAAGGAGAAAGCACACTCACTAAGCCAATTACACAGAAGAGATGGTTCTGCTGGTGGCAATATCAGAGGTGCTGTTGCTTCTGGGATTGGCAGTGGAGTCAGATTCTCTCTGCACACCCACCATGTTTTACAAGAACTGCTGGATCCGACGCTTTCCTGGTCTTCTGATCGACCTGCAGGAATCACAGAAGAGAGGAGCCCAGGTGCTGAAGATTTACGCAGAAGTCTCCTCCCAGCAGTGCAGCAGAACCTGCTGCCTTCAGAGGAATGGTGAGTGTTTATTATAAAGACTGTGGCATACATGAAAACAAGAACAGAAGTACAGAAAAATTCTACTCCACTGTAAATAGACACCGATTACAATAGGGTTCTTCCTTAGTAGATGAGGACATGGTTTGTGGAAGGGAGGGATCACACTACTTAGCTATCTCTGAGATAGAAGGGTATTCATTTCTTTGAGAGGAAAGAACACTCTCCTGCTCTGTGTTCACACCATATTTCATCTAATTAATCTTCCCTTTTATGATCCCAGTGCATGAATGTTATGGAAGCTAGTGAGAATGGCTGCGAGGGGCGGGGGATAGAATCTTCACACAAGTCTGTTATATTTGGGTCTTCTTTCAATTCCTATAGTAGAAATATACTCTGGAGCCAACTTCTGTTTTAAATAAGGTGAATAAAGAATAATTATAAAAATTTTAGTAACATTTTTTCCTTTTTGGACAATAACCTTTTTGGTCATAAAATGTGAGACTAAGTACGTAATGAAGTAATGGTAATTGGAGTCTTGTTTTTATAATCTTTCACAGTCAAGTGCAGATTTGTTATAACCTTAACTGAAGTACGGAGATATCAGATGGCATTTCATAAACATGCTTTAAATCAGATTGTAATTTCCATACAGTCCCAAAGAGACAGATGTAGCCTACCACAGATGTTGTCAATAAATGTCCTAATTAAGACTTCAAGAGATATTGACAATTGATAAGACAGTCTTATTTGCTGGATTCTCAGTAATAGTACAGTTACTGAAAGGTAATTATAGAAGATAAACACAAATTTTGAAATAATTTAAAAACAGACAATGGCATAGTTGGCTTGTACCTCCTCAAGGTGATGTGAAATATCTTATAGCATGCTTTTTACGTATTTTTCCTGACCAAAGAACTATTTTTTCTCACCCCAAAAATAGGTTTGTGATTTACTATTCTTACTCAATTTTATGCAATAAAATCTAACGCATTTACCAGTACTTCCTCAAAATACTTCCTCAGAATACTCAGAATACTTCCTCAAAAGCCAATTTCTTCAGAAGCTATATGTTTTTTCTTTTTAATATTAATGATATTTTCATAAAGCAGGTATACTAATCGTGATGAAAAACTTCTGGAATTATGTTGTGCTAAAAATATGATTTTCTAACAACAACAGAACTTTGATCAAACTTTGAAGATAGAAAAGGATTTGAAATCTCACTCTTACCTTAAAACAAATTCATGTATTTTCATTTATCTTCTATTTTTTCAACTAAGAATTTATATCCTTGCAATATATATCACCAAACCTACACTATGTTCATGTATCATACTGAAAAACAAGCATAAAACATACAGATAGTACAAAATGTCAATTCTTCAACAAAATCCAGAACACTAAGTACTTGGGTTTCAAAGCAAAGTTTTACGTTGCTATAACATACAAGGAAAGTGAAGAACAGTTTTCTGCTGGAAAAAAAAAATCACTCTGAGCAAGCATCAGAAAATTTTGATTAAAAAAAAAAAGATAATATTCATAATATTCTATTTTTAGTGTTTCCAGAATGTTTAACATTCTATCAGCAAAAGGTATCACAGAAAAGCAACTACTACACAGACACTTCATAGAAATATTTGAAGGCCTTTGTTATTTTTATTGTGAGCTCATACTAAAAGTGATACAAAATGTTTACTGATGACTAGAACTGTTTTTATATTCTTTTTTTTTTTAATCTATATGTCTATATTTTCATATTCTTTTTTGTCTTTGTGTAAATGTCTATAGTTCTCAGGAAGTACATCAAGATGTACTGGCTACAGATGTTTTCTGAACACTACAATGTACTTGTAATCTTTTAAAGAAAAATGTAAACTAATTGATACATAATAGAGTCAGAGTTTGTGTAGTCCTTTTAAATTATTCTGTTTCTGGCAGGCACTGTTCTTCTATTGCTATAAATAGCCATAACTTTTTTGTACCAATTCTAGTTTTGTAAAAGCCTTCTCTAAGCTCAGCTGCTATTTTCATAACTGGAAACTGATGAAGCCTAGTTAGAGATAGAACATGGTCTCAGTGAAAGAGAAACTGTTGTTTAACCCCTTTGACTTACATTCAATATCAAGTACTGACTTTACTTGCTATTCATTACAGCTTAGGATTCTAGTTGTTCTTACAAGTATTACTATTTTTGTTTGAGCTATGCAGACAACTTTGAATACTTCATGCAAATAGGTAAAAAACATAGTACAATATACATTCAGTAATCCAGAAAGCTGCTGAATTTGTATTTTTCAGACAGGGTGCATTTTGATTGCAAATTTTAAATCACATGGTATACATCTTCTGAAAACAGTGTTCATCTCTGACATCTGATATGTTCATTATGATGGAAAAATATTTTCTAGCTGTGTTTACCGAGTTATTCAATGCAGTATTTAGATTACTAACTGAAAAAACACAGTGAATACAGAAAAGATAGCAAGACTGGGTAAAGAGAATGTTCTTTCTTCTTCTCATTTGTTGATAAGATAGGGTTAGTTTTCTAGTTACACATACTGTGGAAAGAGGAAAGAGTTGCATTACTTTTTCACTACATGAATATTACAAGTTGGTATCATTACTTATAAATGTAAGGCAATATTTACAATAAATACCAAAGTAAATGGAAAATATTTTAAAGCTAGGTAGTTTCTTAACAATTCATGTAAAATAAAGCTTTTCCATTATTGTCTTGACATCATTACCCTGCAACTAGAATGATTTTATATAATTAAAAACAAACAAAAAAACCTTCATCTGACTAAACAAAAATTAACACTGATCCTACTCCAAGCACAGTGATATAAAATAAACTCGACTTCTGACTTGATATTTTGACTTTGAGTATAACATTCACCTTGAGTATCGAAGCATCTCTATGAGCACATAATATAACATTTTCAAAAGCGTTTAATTGAATTGACTCCTAAATCTCCATTTTCATGCTTTCAGCTATCTTAAACCACCAGCATTCGGGTATTTACATAGTTCTGAAAATTAGTTCCCAGTGACACTTTCCTCAGGTGGTAAGAGAGAAGCCAGTCTCCAAATACAGATGATGAATTGTTTTAAATATTATATTCACAGAAATAAATAGCCCAAAGCCAGACAAGATAAAGCAAGGCAGGATGCCAGTTACATATTGTAGTTCAGGATACGCCATCTGATGGTTGTTTAATAGTCTGAGGAAAGAAATGTTTGCTCTCCAGTTTCAAGTAGACAGGTATCAATTGCACAAGAGCCAACACCTCAAACTTGTACTGACAGCTTTACTTTCAGAAATAGTCCAATCACTGCAATAAAGATATAAAGGAAAGATAAGAGAGGACTGCAGGCTACAGCACATGGTTTTATTTATTCTGAGAATTCATTTAGAATTCATTTGGCTATCCTTTTCATCTTCTCTAGGTATAAAATATGAATATAGTTAAAGTTGTTCTACTTTTACAAGTGGGTGCTTAAGAAGTTTGCATGATAATGAGAGAATCACAGACTTGATGTACTGTGCAACTAGTCAGTATTAATGTTTCTTTTAATGCTAAATAATGCATGTAGGTCACTCTGAAAGTAATGCTTCTTATTTATTTCCATAGCGATTACAACAGATATAAAGAGTACAATAACACTGCTTCCTAGAGCACATGCTTAACTACAAAACACTATTTTTCAGCTTAGTCACCACCACTAGCTATGCATTTTTGCCAGCAAGAGCCTGTGTAGAAATCTGCACTAGTGGAGTTGACCCACTGTTTCACAGCTGCTGGGACAGTGTGATTGCTAGGAAAATACTTCACATACAGTCCGTCTTCCATCAGCCCAAACAGATGGTATTCAGAACATGCTAAATCTGTACAGTGGGTATGGAAAGACAGTCCAGCCAAGACTCTCTATTTCTTGTGTGAGTATTTGTGGGACCCACATGGTGCAAACTGTGATGCTCCAACATTACCACCACAGGTTCCAATGCACTGAAGCCAATATTTCGTTCCATACATGATTCCATGGTTGTAATCTGCCAATTGACTTGGATCAGCTGGCCAAGAAACTCTTCACTTCATGGTAGGACAGCTGTACCTGGCTGTCTGGAATGTGGCTTGTCTTTTGCATTGCTGTCACCACTACCGAGACAAACCACTACTGCCTCACCAAGCTAACATCCATTGTTTGGTCTCCATAAACATACAGTGTGTGTTACACTGTGATGATTGTGTGCCACTTTTTCTGCATGGAGGAATTCAATTCTACACCTTTGCTTCATACCCCCTTCCACGTCAGACACCATTTTGTCAGACTGCCCCTCTGCGGCCATCAGTCACATAGCAACTGCCACATCACTAACATCCTCTGATGTTATGGGCCAACAAATTAGGAGGCATTACTTTCAGAGAAGCCCTTGTAATAACATGGAAAATACAACAGTTATAGTGCTGATAAATCCAGCTTTGTTCTTTTTGTATTATAGTTTCCTGTAATCTAGCAGTGTTCTACCATGGAGCTACTAATGAAAATATGAATTGCTTGCACGTGTCTTGCCCAGCACTGGAAAGTTGCATACTAAAGGCTAGAATCAACGTTGTTTTGTACAACATCACGACAGGTAATCAAATATTGTGTGCATAAAGGCAGAAAACACAGCAATATGTATATATATAGTAAGTTGCTAAAAGACCTTTTGTAACAACACACAATGATAAAAATGCGTAATACTTTTTTTTCTTTAATGTTCATACTTTTTGGGATACTTCCCCACTCTTTCTTTCATTCAGCATTTGGGAAAGAGCCTTGAAGGTGCACCCTGCTGCCAAGATTTGTTCTTCGAATATTTAACGAATACTATTGTTAAAGAAAAGTACCATGTAAGATCTGACAGAGAGAGGAGAGGCTGTTGCTGCTCTGTGCCCCTGGATTCACACAATAGCACGGCTAAAAATCTGTTCCCATTCAGCACATGCATATCGACCACGCATACAAGTATATCACATGTGTACATATACATATACACACAGCTATCCACATAGGCAACACAGTGAGATGCATAAAGCAGAAACATGAAGGCAGTACCAAGAGCCTTGTCCTCCGTGCTGTGCAGCCACATAGAGAACTGCTACTGAAAATATACGTATGTATATATAGTGAGAATATACAGTTTAATATGCGTGTATATATATTTAATATATATATGTGTATATACATATATATATGATAATGTGTATATTTAAATATATATTTAATTCATATACAAACTGTCTTAAAGCTCCAGTAGCTTGGCTCAGACAACCAGCATCTGCCCCTGGATCCCAGTCTCCTCAACTGCTAGCACCTGGATGCATGAGCCCCCAGGAGCACAATCACCCTAGAGCTGCTGGTCAAATGGATTCTCTTCTTCTCTTGTACGCAGATGAGCTTTTATCACATAAACTAATATTGTTTATGATTTAATAGGGATTGATCCAGACCTTCTTATTTTTGAAAGACTGAAATTCAAGGGGCCAAGTATTTACACCTCACAGAGTAAATACGAAAGGCTAAACAGCACAAAGACCTCTGAGTGGGAAAGATGCCAGCATGGTAATGTTACGTCAAGTTCACTTCTACTCCAAGCTCCATCTTCTACCATCACCTCCAGCACAAGCCTGATGGCTGTAAAAACAAAAGGCAGCACATATTCCAGGGAATCAACTTCTCTGCTGGATAACCATTTGGCTAAGAGGACAAGCACAACTTCAGGAAGTACTAGACTATTCACTAGCTCAGACAGAAGGACTATACACTCAACTTTGATACCTAAATCTGCAGAGGTGTTATCCCGCATGCCCACTCCTCCTCATCTGAACAGCAGCAAACAACACTTAAATGAAACCAAAGGTTACAGTGGCAGGAATTATACTTCAGACAATGAAGCTCCTGTTTGGGAAGCTGCAGCTCTGGGTGTCTGGCTGATTCCTGTTATTCTCTGCTCTTATCTCATCTTCCTTTGCTTTTGTACTGTGGCTCCTGGAGCAGGGTGCTGCAGAAGTAGGAAAGGTCACTACCAACCCATACAGAGAGGAAGAACAATGTCTAGGCAAATAAAATACACTACTGTCCAAGGTGGCCTGTAAAATACAGTCACCACCCTTGCTGTGGAACAAACAGCTTTTTTAAAATGAATTGTATTTCCTGGCCTGATTCTTTTACAGAACAAAGAGTAAGTTTCAGAATCATTCAGCTATAATTTCATTCTCAACAATTAAACATATTTCCATGGTCTCTTTGGGTAAGAATTGCACACTCACAGGTCTCATTACATATTCAAATCTGTTTGAGCATATTTTAGTACAAAATCTGACTCAGAATAACGCCTAACAAAAACAATACGCTTACCCTAATTTAAGAGAGCAGATTCACTGCAGCTTACGTGACCTCTGCCCTGACTTTGACCAGCCTTAGAAAAACTGATTTAAATGTTATAATATCATAAAAGATTTAATGATAGCATTTATTTAATTGCCCTAGATCTAGTTGTTTTCATAAAAACTGTATTCATCTTTTCCTGTTAAATTCTAGATTGTTTTTTACTATATACTCCTAATACTGGAATAAAACAATTTAACACGCACTGTTTACTTCCTCAAAGAAAAATGCCCATTAGTAAAGTAAGGCTCCAAAACTACTGACTTCCATTAACTCAAACATCTGATCATCCAATTATTTATGCTTTGCTTTCACTTCAGTCTTCTGACAATTACTTGAAATGTTTCTGAAGCCCTCCTAGACTAGTACCACTACCTCCTACTACCATTAGACTTCTTTTTAAAACTTAATTGCTGTGTGATGCACTGACAGATCCACTCTACTACTACTAAGGAAAGCACAAATGCAACCACCAACTGTTCATGAATTGCAGTTATGGTCAATTTGTACTGTCCACCTTCACTTGCTTTATTATGCCCACACATATTTATCATTTACATCATTTGCTTTTTTTAATACGGACATTTAATGTACATTGCACAGAGATATACAAAAGATTTTAAAGCTTTAGAAGTTAGAATTGTAATTAAAAACAAACTTTTTGTTTCTTCACCCTGTGTACTCTCTTCATAAAACTGCTACTCCTGAACATAAATCAAATGACTACATCAACAAGATGTTTCTTTGACTTATCTTGCTCAGGAACATTGCTTAGGAAAGCAAACATTTTCAGCAGTAGTCACACACAATCACAGAATCACAGAATCACAGAATCACAGAATCACCTGGGTTGGAAGGGACCTCAAGGATCATGTAGTTCCAACACCCCTGCCTAGCAGGGCCACCAAACATACACAATCAGATCTGGTTGCCCAGGACCCCGTCCAGCTTGGCCTTGAACACGTCCAAGGACGGGGCATCCACAACCTCCCTGGGCAGCCCGTTCCAGGGCCTAACCACTCTCCTTGTAAAGAAAAGTCAGGATTGTTCTTTCTCTTTTGTATTTGTTGATGTCTCAGAGTTTCTCACTTTGTTCACTAGATATAAGAAGAAATATCTATATCCTAGACAAGTTTACACTCATGTTATTAAAGGAAACAAGCAACAATAAAATTGATTGTCATGTGTCTATGTAGAAAATTATGTTAAAAATAGTAAGATTTATGTAAAGCTTAATAATTATAGTGATGAAGTTAGAAAGTCCCATGTATATCTAATTACAGTTGAGCAGCTTGGTTTCAGAGGAAAAGACCACCCTAAAATTATATTTTAGGGAACACTGAGCAAACTGCAGTTTAAGGAGCTGAAGTTTATAAGAAATTTTAGTTCTTGATAGAACATATTTACTAATTTACATTGTCACAAAAGAGAGAGACTGACATAAGACAAGAAGCTTGTCTGGTGGCTTGTCTTTCATGTCGCTCTCACCACTTCTGAAATGCACCACCCACCACCCCACTGTGCTGAGATCCACTGTTTGGTCTCCATATGTTCAGCAAGCACTGATGAATGATAATGGGTGCCATTTTTTCCACATGGAGGAATTCAATTCCACACCTTTGCTTCATATCCACTTCCATGTCAGATGCCATGTTGTCAGACTGCCCCTCTCTGCTGCCATCTGTCACACAGCAACAAAATGTAACAGAATATTGGCAGGAACTTTCAACCTCTACTACCATACCACCAACATCCACCACTGAAGTTATGGGCCCACATAGTAAAATGGGAGGCATTACTTTCAGAGCAGCCCTTGTATAAAACACAGTTGTAGCAGGACTACTTTATTACAGACTAGTGCAGTAACAAGAAAGTTAACACACACATTTTAGGTACCAGGGACTAGGTAGAAAGATTTTTTGTTCAGATAGTACGTCCCTTTTATAGTCCTTTCATTTCTTAGCTGTGTTTGCAGCAATGCTATGCACAAAAACACAATCGGAGTGTCAGCTCCTGCTAGGAGTATCAATGACTTCTCAGAAGTCCAGCAGACTGTCTATAACTGAGTTTTCAGACAGTCAGTCACATTTGAGCGAAACCCCAACCAGTTCTAACATCTATCCTCTCTGCCAAAGATCAAACCATGTCTGTCTTACAGCCTTTTTGTCAAATCTAAGAAGCAGATTATGTTTAGTGTCACTTTTAAATGGCAAAAGCATGACACAATGCAGACAATAAACCTCAAGAAAACATAGTGACAACAAACATCTTACCTCACAATTCCTAACACAGTTTACTAAAGACGTCTTATGACAGTGCTTACAGCAGTTTCTAAGATGCAAAAAATTAGTCAGAATCCTGACAAAGCAAGTTCTTTTCCTGTTTGACCTAACATCAGATTTCAACTTTTCTTTGGAATGTTTATACGGGAGATAAAAGAAAAGTTAGGCTCCTCAACAGCACCAGTGAAGCTATGCATCAGAACTCGTTCAGAGGGCCAAGAACTTAACTTCTGTGATCTTTTCCCATTGGAGGCAGCTTATTTTTCCCTTGCAGCAAAGAACTTTTCCAGTTTGCGGAGACAAGTGTTTGGATTTGAAATAAGGCATCTGCTACTTGGAGGTTAGAGAAGCAATGACCGCAGAGAAGTACATCTAGTAGCCTTCCTGTTCAAGTTTCAAATGGTGGTGGACAGAGTTGCCTGAGGCCAGGGCTGTCACGAACCTGCCATTTGGCCAGTAATCACCAGTAAAATAATTGCCCAAGGAGAGAGACAATGTCTCCAAATACTGTATATCGTTTCCTGCTCCACCTTACTTCCCAGTCTATGCACTGGGGGGTTGCCCTGATTCCTAATTTATATGTTAACTATCTTCATTGCCATTTAAAAGTAACATAAACCCTGAGCACTTCCCTGTACTAGAATGTGTACATACACTCGCACATAGACGTATTGAGGGACACAAATCTTAGAGTCATGCATTTGTATTATAATGTATGATACAGACCACTGATAAAGATGTATTTACTACTATAACCTGCAAATCTATTACTCTTAACTCTTCACAACTTTTAAACTACAATAAAAGTCAGAAGGATTCACACTGGAGTTAAGATCCCAGAGTTTTACGTATTCTACAAAATCACAGCAAAATACTGTCACCCCTAAACACATAAACAATTTTGAGGGAGAAGTAAGAAATAAGAAATATCGAAGATGAGAGCTCAAAATATCATCCAGTCTACCTGTGATCCAGTCTACTGCATTACACAAATTCTGCACTTCTGATCTGTAACACAGATTATTAGCTAAAACCACAAATGCAGCTGAATTTGATATTTCCTTTCTAGCAGTTAGACTGAGCACTTGCAGGATTATAAAGATCTTATTCTTGCTCATATGTTTCTTAGCAAGGAGAGGAAGTGACAAAGACATTGAAAAGAAAGTTGGAGGTCAATGCTGTAGATTTTTAAAGCCATTTGGCCAAGCATTCTGTAACCAAGGAGTCAGTAAGCCAGAAATGACTGGAAAATTGGTATCTTTGATTTAATGGTAAGTGTTGGATGTGTTCACGGAACATAGTGAATTAGTCCCAATATTGTTCTAAGCAATTCCCATTAAATAGCTAGAATGAGAAAAAAAAACAAACACCACTCATGTGGTGGTGTCACGATCCAGCACTTTGATGCCCTGCCACTAAGGAGATGTCAGCTTTTATCTTGTCTTATTTTCTGAAGCTTTTATAGAACATAAATAAGCTTGGCTCAAATACTTCTGAGAGAACTCTAGAAGCCTGGTTATTTTTAGGTTTTTCATGAATTAGCTGCCAAGTTAATGAAATGCTAACGTAATAAAAATGAAAAATCAATTTGCCTTGCTTTGCTGCTCTTTCTACTGGTATTATTAAGTCAAATTTATTTGAACTACAACTGTCACAGGCATCTACTTAAATCCATTTAAAGTCCATGATGAACAAAGGAAGAAGTTAATTGCTATCTATTACAAAAAGGAATTTATTATTTATTAAGTAGGAAGCTACACACATTTTTTCCTTGCCAAATCTGAATACTACACACAAGAAAGAACACAGAAGGCCCCAATGTACTAAGACTCAATCCATTCCTGTTTAGGCAGTGTACTCACCTCACCACTCCACCAGCCCTCAATTTCAGCAACCCTCATTCTTCCCAAGCTACTTTCGTATTCTGTAAATAACTGTCAGTTCATCTTGCAATCCTCATCTCATTTTGTACCTTATTTTGTTGTGGGACAGTGAAAGTCATTACCTTGCTAAATGAGTAAACAAGCTCAGCAACTACTTGAGCCAGATGTAAACACACACAAGGTACCTGGTTCTACATGTGACCAAGTTGTTGCACAGGTATAAAAAGTTGTAAGCACATACAATAAAGGTGGTTCTTAGGTCTCTTGCCATATTTTGTTCCATTATTGTATTCTAATTTAGAGTATGTTAGCCCTTGTGATGTCAACCGAGCACCTCATATCACTCAGTGTACTTCAACATCTCTCCAACAGTTAAACCTAGGTAACACAATCTTTACTTTCCAGAAAGGAAGCTGAGGTAGAAAAAAATCTGAGATGCTGGAAAGCATTGAAAAACTTTGGATCTCTTAATTAAGTTAATGGAACTTGGAACCCAACCCATTTCATAACTTGAAAGTTTTCAAAAATAATACATCAAAAGAAGTTGTGTGAGAAGTCAGAATGTGAACAAACACAGAACTAAGACAGGATTTCTCAGGCTAAGAAACGGAGTCACGGAGTTGACCAGATCAATCTATGTCCGTGACAGGGGGCAACAGGCCTCTGCCCTCCCCCCCCCACCCCAGTCCCACAAAAATGGGAAGGAAGGAAGGGAGGAAAAGAGCAGCGGCAACAATCTATGGAGGAAAACTTATTTTACTATAATATTGGAATGCAACATAACACAATATATACAATTTAATTGAAATTGAGATTAATAAATCAGACAAGATGAGAGAGAGAGAGTTCCCGGGACTGAGTCAAACCTGAAAAGCTTGGAACGGCCAGGAAAGCACCTCCAGCACCCACTGCCAGGCAGCAAGAGAGCGACCCCCCCACCCAGAAGGGCCAGATCCCATGACTGCTGTAATGTACAGGAATAGGTACCTGGGATTGGGGCAGTGACACTTTAATACCCCGTACACTACATGATGTTTTGATGTGGAATACTGAAACCCAAAAACAAAAAACATAGAACCATGAAAAAAGTACAGAACAGAATGTTCAAGTCACCAATATATGACTTAAGGCATACTTTATTCAAGAACAAGATTCCTGGACAGTTATGTTTACAAGAAAATCTTAAAAAAAAAAAAAAAAAGAAAGAAAAAAATCTAACTACTTTCAAGACTAACTCATCAACAAGTTTCATAGTTTTGGTTAAAGTTATGAATCCATATCATACAGTAATATCAACATATTATAATTTAGTATTTCTGTAATAACTAAATGTACCTGCAGAATCTTTCATGGTAATGCTTGTATATTTAATAGTTTTTTCACGGATTCCTTATACTGAGACATGTTACTTTCTGTTTCACCTTCATTTTTAAGTGCAATTACAGAGTTTCTGTAATTTCTAACTACTTCAGACGCAAGAAGCTCTTCCTTAGTTACATTACTGACATTCTCCGTGGCTTTTATTTGAAGTAGTGTAGCCAGGGCATTTCTCTGCGAGGAGCTGTTT